CTGGTCCTGCTGTGGCTGAGGGCGGTCTGGGCAATCTCTGATACGGTGGCCTGGGCGGCGGCAATGGAAACATATGTCCTGCCCGGCAAGACACTCCCCGCGGTGCGGACGTCCGCAGGTAGCACAAGCCGGCAGGTCCTGTCGGGCTGGCTGGCCTCCCTGAGCTAGGCCTCTCTGTCTGCGGTTCCTCTTGTCCTTGCGACCGTCCCACTTTCTCTTGTTCGTCTGCTGAGCTGGCTGGGCTGGCGGAATAGCGGCTGGCTGTCTGGCTGGTGGCTGGGCACGGGTGTCTCTCAGAATGCACGCCTCGATCTGCTGGGCACGCTCAACAGTCTCGGCGTAGTCAAGGAAGCCATTGCTGGTGATCAAGAGTCTGATGTTGCTCCTCAAACCATCGAGGAACTGTGCTGCCTTCTTCTCCTCCGTATCAACAAGATGCGAAGCAAAGGCACTCTTACGAGCGAACTCGCGCTCGTACTCGTCCACTGAACGCTCACCCTGCTGGAGAGCGGCAAACTCCCGTGCCATCCTCTGCTTGAAATGGCGAGGATAGAACTTGTCCTCCAGTATCGTCTTAAACTGAGCCCATCTCATAGCGTCACGCTCATCCTCCGTGCGTAGACGCCAGTAATCCTCCCACCAATCTCCGGCGGCTCCCTCTATCTGCAGTTCGGCGCACGCCATCTTGTGCGCCTCAGAAATCCCCATAATACGGAAGATCCTCTCCATCTTCCGGATCCACTCGGCCACGGCTAACGGGCCACTCTCCCCAGTGAAACGGGGCGGATCATACGTACGGAATCGGCTGACCACAACAGCCTGATCCTGCTCAACTGGTGCCTGGGGATCTCTACGCGGTGCCATTCTGAAATTCGGGAAACGCTTGAATTGATTAGTATAGCCGATTAAGAAATAGCCATACTACTTTTGAAATAATAAGGAAATAATATCCGAAAACACCTAGCTTGGCTAGAGTTCCGGTATACTTAAACTTTCGGTGTTCTGGCCCGTAATGGAGTTCTGACTTAGTCTAGAGTCCTTGGACTTAGCTGTTCTAGAGTTCTGTCTAGAGTTCTTGTCTTAGCTTATCTTTCTAGAGTTCTCCATCTAGAGTTCTTTCTTTTCTTATAGGAGGATAGTTATCTAGGCCCCATACTTGAACTGAATTTAGCACTTGCAAAACTTAAACTGAGTCAGGTGACTTACCTCGGAGTCGGCGCGGATGAGCGTGGCGTGGTCATGCTTTTCTAAACTTTGAAAGTATGCAGAAACGCAAATCTGCGCTCTGATACCACCTTCTGTCACACCCCGCCTTACTACTAGCTTTGAAAATCAGAGTAAAATTTTTGTTTTTATTTTCGAAAGAACGTGCGAGCTGGGTTTTCGAAAATACTGACTTATTGCGGGATGTGGCAGATAAAAACTTAAACTGAAACTTGGGCTTGCCCACAGACATAAAAAAACATGCAACCAAACTGTCCGCTCGCGGATTATGGAATTATACATGCATAGTCTGTACTGTCTCGCACTGTCTAGAAAAACTCGCTGGCGGAAGCATCCGAAATACGAATACATAACATGCGTACATAAACTGAATAAAATACACATGATCATAAATCTAGGACATAAAAATGCTGGTAAAATATGTCCGACTCTCATGACCACGCTGCGCCACATCTGTGCTCATCCGGCACGCTCGACTCCGTCTCCTGAAAAACACAATGGGGGCGTGAGCAAACCACTATGCTCCGCAAAGACCAGTACTGAACAAAACATCATCTATAATAACGTATCATGAAACATAAATATATAAGAGCTGAAACTGTAAACTGATCTCTGATGTCTGTTCTGATCTGTGGTCAAAAGACCCTCGGCCGTAGCCGCTCGTGTGCACACGCCGATGGGGTAGAAAGGGCCTCGCCCCTCCCAACGGTCATCAGGTGGGTATAAAGGCCTCGGCCACCCAACCCGGAACTAAACTGTCTCAAACATACCTCTGCCATGGTACAGATATTATCTATGATGTGACATCCAGTACATGACCCCCACCTGAAAAACTTGGAATCTGATATGCAAGTGCGGATGCTGGAGTAGCGGTCGGAGGCTCGACTCTCCTTAGGCTACATAAATATTTAAGTAAAATAATGCTAAGTATAATGCTCGGAATATTAAATTATATGCTAAAATGCTCGGACTTATCTACGCGATTAAACTGGACTGGACTAGCTTAGAAAAATACTAAAATTCCGTAAAATAGACTCGGACCGAAAGTCACGAATCAAAACGGACTCAAACCACCGGTCAGGGCGGGAAGGTGACTCTCCCTGGCCACTTAACTTATACTAAGCCATGTCTACTCATGAAGCTCAATTAAACCAAGATTCTACATTTATCTAAAATTTAAACCGAACATAATTGAGCTCTTAACCTCATGAATTTTTAAAATTCACACAAGTCTCCAAAAATCACGAAACTTGGCAGTTTAATATTAGACATAGACATGTACTTGCTGTCCAAATTTCATGTCAATAGGACTTCATTTGCTTATTAAACTCATAACTTAAGCATAACGTAAAATTTAGTTATATACCTGTGCATATTGCAACAATTTTGTAAAATCACATGATCATCATTTTAAGCTCAAACTTGGTCACAATGTTCACAACTCATAATAGGATTTTACATAAAATTTTAGCATTCATAGCTTGCATGTGGACAGAGCACTCTTGCACATAAAATGAGTTCGACACGCATGCGATCTGAAATTTATAACTCCTTCATTTCTTATGATAAAATCATGAAATTTGGTATGCTGGCTCTCAACTCATATATAAACATGTCCATAAAATTTCATAATTTTATCCTGAGTATAACTCAAGTTCTACGCGTTTGAAGTTGCCACTGAAATTCGCGCATGTAAGTTCAATTTGCACATCTAACTTAAAAAATCAATAACTCGAGTTATACTAGGCCAATTGACTTCATTCTTGATCCTATGAATTCCTCTTTTCTATAAGAATTATCCATAAAATTCGCACATTCCCAGAATTTTCATAACATAGGTAAAAACGTAAGAAAACATAGCATATAGAACATGCAAGAAAAACTGGGAGTACTTAACGTTAAGCATGCTTGGAACTACTTCAAAACTGAACATATGGGGCATAAAAATACAGCATTCTCATCCCCATCTCATATATAACATGTCCTAAAAAGGAATTAGCAAACCAACCTCTTAAAGTATCTCAAAAACCGAAAAGAAAAAGGGTGTGCTCGGTTCTCGCTTGGTTCTTGTTGCTGCGGCTTTGTGGCTTGTTCTCTTCGAATTTTCTTGAGTTTAATGCCTCAAAACACTTCTATGGGAAGTGTAGAATGGGGTAAAAGTGATATAATGTGGTTGATAGCAAGAGTTGATGGCTAGAATTTGAAATTAAACACAAGTGTGCACTCGGGATTTATGCTTGTTCTTTGTTTTCACTCTCGGTTTTATGCTATAGGGAGGGTGTATGCTCGAAATTTTTCTCCAATATACTAAAGGATGACTGAGGGTCAAAATGAGGATGTCATGGAGCTGAAAAGAAGGCTTAAATAGAGTCATGGGCGGAGTAAAATATGCTAGATAGTGGGGAACATGGCATGGACTCATTTCCAATGCAAGGCATGTGTTTGAGTGTGCATGAAGAGCATTGAGGGGCTGGGAAAGTGCTTTGCGGAGTGCACTAGGTGAGGAGTGGAAATGTGGGGACAAAAACATACATCTTGAATAGAATAATGAACCCATGACATGATCATTAAGCATATTAAATTTGCTAATGATGGTTTGACTTTACCAATCATTTTTAGTGCTAACTATGCGTAGAATACACTTAATATACTTCTTGTACCCACATATGGAAAATATGGCTAAGGAAAAGAATTGACTTTGGTCACTATGGTGCGGCATTGCTCTAGAGTTCAATGGTTCGGTTCGAACGAAAATATTTCGAACATAATAACCGAATAATCTAACATATATAAATGATCAAAACTTGACTTTGGTTTTTTTTTTTTACACACTTAGAAAATTATTCTAAGTATAATAAATACCAATATTTGGCTAGGCTCGGAATTTACTCGAAAAGTAACTCGGAATCAAACTAGGGTTCGGAGTCGAAAATTCCTCGAATTGACTTGCTATTATTTACCAACCCAAATTAATGAATTAATCTTAACTTATACTTGAGATAGAATTATCCAAAGAATAATTTATCATAATTGAGCATTTAGCACAATAAATATAACTCGGGAATTTCTGAAAATTACGGATTTCACTTATAGTCGAGCAGTGAAACCGTTCTTACTATTATTACTGATTTGGGGCGTTACAGCTGATGTTACTGTTATGCTTACCAATATTGTTGTTTGTCAATTGTATAGGTCTTTCCCAATGCGGCGCATTGTCTATGTACATATCACATATCAAATAAGATGAAGACGCGTTATAGGACTGAATCTCAGTTAGTAAAGGAAGCTTTTAACGCAGCAGCAAGAGCGTATACTGTGGAGGAATTTGAGAGGCATATGGCAGAGATAAAGAAGTTGAATCCAAGTGTTGTGACATATTTGGAAACGATTGGCATACACAAGTGGGCAAGAGCACACTGTCCTAGTAATAGGTACTTCACAATGACATCTAACGCTGCTGAATCAATAAATGCTGCGATGAGGTCCGTGCGTGATCTCCCGATAACAACGCTTTTGAAAGGGCTTAGAGACATGCAACAAAGGTGGAATGTGGCGAATAGGTCTGAGGCCAAGTCCACATTTACTGCACTTGCCAAGAAGCCGCATGATATGTTGGAGAACAATTACAAATTAGCCTCCAGATTCTCTTTAAGAATTGCTCATCAAATAAATTCTGAACATGTCCAGTATATATCTAGATTATATACATTTATTGTGTTTCGTAAGTGTGTGTATTGTGTATATGTGTATAATTTTTTTTATATTTTTATTTACAGGTGCAGAAAGCCAGCGATAGTATATACAAGGTGTTGTCTTATGGTCAAGCCTTTATAGTGGATATAGTCGCCAAGACCTGCTCATGTCATCGATTTCAGATTGACGAAATCCCTTGTGCGCATGCGGTTCGTGTGATACAATCACTTCATCTGGATCCCGTTCCATATTGCTCTGTTCACTACTTAACATCGACTATGTTAAGTACATATGATGAACCAGTAATGCCAGTCGGAGGTGACCAATCCTTCGCGTTGGAGGCACCGCCTACGTTGCGACAAGTAAATCCCCGGATGAAAGAGTTAGGCCCGGGCGACCACGTAAGCAACGACTGAAGTCGGGGTGGGAACATAGATCGAAAAATCGGTGCAGTAAATGTAACGAGAAGGGGCACAATGTGAAAACATGTCGTGATCCAAGAAAGTAATAAAATAGTATGGATTTTCCAATAGTTGTTGATTTCGTTGATATTTTTTCAGATTATTTTGTTTTTCGTGTACTTTATAATCATGTAGTATAGTCGTACGCATTCAAATCGTGTTCCTTTTTAATGTGTTTGTTTCAATTTATATCGATACCATACTATATATTCTTTTGGTTTTACTACTAATTATTTTTTTTTAAAACAAACATATTTTTTTATTGTTTTATGCTTCATGTATATAAACTATATAACTCTGTAAGACTAATTCAAATACTTTTTTCTGTCTTCTCTTGCTTTCTTGACCTATATATGGAAGAAAAAAAAAAATATATATATATATATATATGTAGTATATATACACAGGTAACAAGTGTATCCAAAACTAGGTTTATTTCTCGGATATATAGTGTATATTTTCATAATATATATCTGGATTGGTGTTAAGGATTATATGAATGGCAAAAAAGTTTTTTTGAAGTTTATGTGTACTGTATAATTGCAGTATATATTTTTTTTCGTTTTACCTTCTTTCACGTACATGTAGATATCCAGTATGTATAAATCTCATCAGTGTGCGCGTTTGTATGTAACAAAATCATACAGATGTAGGAAAAAATGAAAGAAGTTGCAAGTACTGTTTAAGTAAAATGTGTGAAAGCAGAAATTCTTTCAATAACATCACATGAACTAATTCATCCAAAAAGTCGATTAAGATTCAAAAGACACATAAACGATTGTCACATAAACAAATATTACCTAAAACGATAACATGTCTGAAAACCAAAATTCACATAAACGATTGTCATAAATCATCACAAAGAGCTCCAAAAGGACATCAGCAGTCAGTAAACGATCACACGAGTCTAGAACGGACTTCATCGGGCAGTGTACCAGGAGATTCATCATCACTCTCCAAATCCTGGTCTATCTTCATCCTACCATGCTTATACAGCAAAAATCCGAATCTTAGTCTCTCCATGGCGGCATCGAACTTTTTCTTAGTAATATCGACGTCTGATATGAAATGCGCGGCGAACGAGGCAACAAATATACCGCAGTCGCTGCATAACAAATATAAAAAGACAGGGGACAATAAAGAAAAGATGAATATATGAAAATAAATAGTATAGAGAACACACGCCTTTATATACATAACATGTACACACAATATTCATGTCTGTAATCACTTTAAAAATACCTGTCCAGTTGCCGTGGGAGATCAGGAGCCATTTTTATCTTCAGAGGTGAGTTCACGTCAAAATTTAAGCGTCCATTGACGTCGTTAAGATCAGTCCTCTTATCGAAGAAGTGTATCAGACGTAGGAAAATAGGAATAATCTCGGCATAAGCTTGAACACTATCTAGGGCGATCGTGTCAACATCATCGGACTTAATTGAATTATAAACCCACAACGTCATGTCAGCGAAAGAGAGTCTACCCAAAATCCAATGTCCAACTCCATTGATCTCAACATGCATTGGGAAGAGGATGTGGTCGACATCAAACCACGAGACTCCACATATAATCTTGTAGCCGTAAATGTAATCAATAATCATGTCATCAACGGTGCATACAGTCTGCTCGGGCGATTTTGCCAGAAAAGAAGTATATAGCGCCTTTATGTGCTGGTCGAATAAAACATCGGTTGTTGTGTACCTTACTTTGGCACGCATCCCGTACAACCCGTTCTTGCGCATATAGTAGAACAAAACATCCATGTGCTGCAATATATTTCAAATAAAACTGAAATTTGTAAAAAAAAAAAAAAAAATACGTAATCATATTAAATAAAATAAAAAATGATTGTAATTCATATACGAACTAAAGACACTGGAACACACTGAACCACTCACACTACTATCAAGGAACAGGCCCGTCTCATGGATTGTGTAAAGCCAGTTCTTATCCGTCACGGAATGAACATTGAAATCAAGCGGAGGATTCAACTTCTTGTACTTCACTTTGTAGTAATTGAAACTGCACAAGTCGATGATACATATTAAGTTTTTTTCGAGTATGATGAAAAAAAAAAACTGACATGTTAGCCAAAAAAAAAAAATATGGTAAAGATAGGGTTAATCTAAACTCTGAAATAAGGTATGGTTAATCTAAATAGCTATTGTTATCCACTTACCCATCAGCCTCTTTTCGGCATCGCTGTAGCAATCCCTCGCCAATCCAATTATTATAACCCATTACGGTATTATCCATAGTGGAAAGGTCCCAGAAATCACAATCAAAAGGGCAAGACTTTTGGAGAAGATTCTTCCTCGAGTCTCTTTTCTTTTTTTTTTTTCAAATTAATATCACAGGGAGGTTGGTTGCCGGTATCTCGGAAGACAACAAGTGCGGTGCTAACTGGTTCAACATTTTCACTAATCTTTCCACCATCTACATTTCTTTGATCCGCACCTACTTCAGACTGATACAACATGTATGGAAAAAAGAACAATAAAAGAAATATTGCATTATTTAACTGTGCACACATATACTTGAAATACTAACATTTAAATTTCTGATAAAGTGGCTTACAGATTCGTGCCGTGCGGGAGGGGCGACATAGTTCGGTGGTGTAGCTGGCAGGTCGTGTGTGATTGCACTGAACGACGGTTGAGATCCATTGAGTGAAAAACCAAAAATTGGATGTGGTTCTCTTTTTGGGCCTCTCGAAGTTGATGCACGTGCCTGTAACATAAAAAACGGACATATTCATATTAATTGCTATACAGAGTATAAATATACATAATATATACATGAAAAAGACTAAATTAACTTTGCGGTACCTGATTCTTTTCTTTTAAGGCCAAGTTAATTTTTTCTGCAGTATCTACCTCAACTAGAAACTGAGTGTTGATTGGTGAAAAAGGGTCATCATCTTCCGCCGGGCTGATAATATCGTGATCCCGGCTTTCTCCAATAGCCTAATGAAAGAAAAAACATAGCAATTTGTTATATGATATAATAAAATTTACGATTTATGGTACAATGAATATATTATTTGTTGTATGTAAGTAAAATACTTTATCTTCTGCACGTGTTTGGAGAGCATCTGATTTCGTGCTAATAGCAGTAACAACAGTCTCCTGCCCGGACTTAACAACAGTCTCCTGCCCGAACTTTAGAACGTGTCATAAAATATAAAAGTGGACCAAAACAGAAACAAACAAAAAAAAAAAAAAGAAAAATATAACTTTTATAATTAATATACTTTATCTTCTGCACGTTTTTGGAGAGCTTCTGATGTCGTTCTAATAGCGGTAACAACATTCTCCTGCCCGGACTTAACAACAGTCTCCTGCTTGGACTTTAAAACAAAAAAAAAAAGATAGACAAACTTGTCGTCATCATAATCATAAAGATAAAAGTAAACCAAAACAGAAAAAAAAAGGATAAAACTTATATAATTAAGATACTTTATCTTCTGCACGTTTCTGCAGAGCTTCTGCTTTCGTCCTAAATGCGGTGACGACATTCTCGTGCCCAGACTACAAAAATTTTTAAAAAAAAAAATAAAAAACCAAGAGATATACCTGGTTCCTCCTATTAAAATATATATATATATATATATATGTATATATATGTATCCAAAAAATGTACAGGATAGTGAATGCATGAATGACAAATATATATTTAAGATACTTTATCTTGTGCACGTTTCTGGAGCGCTTCTGATTTCGTTGTAACTGCGGTAACAACATTCTCGTGGCCAGACTACAACAAAAAATAAATTAGATTAAAATAAAAAGAAAAGGGATGTCTGCAGGGGTATTAAAGAATTGTGTATATATATATTTTTTTGATGTTTGATTAAAAATGTTTAATAAATTACCTTATCCTTTATCGGCGATGAATGAACATTCCCACTGATATTATCCGTTTCCAATCCAAATGCATCAGTGGTGTATTCAGTGTTTTTTCCATCATTTCTAGCAGAAATCTACATATGGAAAAAGCAACTTGCAGCATATTTCACCTTGTTGATAAGGCATGCATATGGACAGTATATTACATGTATATATACTGTGTATATATTGTATATTTATCAACTAAGTGTGATCCTAAAATATCAGACCGTATATGTCTGGAGTATATGATGTGTATATATATCTAATAGACCAAAACAGATTAAAAATAAATTAGACTAAAATAAAAAGAAGAGGGATGTCTGCAGGGGTATTAAAGAATTGTATATATATATATATATATATATATATATATATACACACAATTCTATATATAAAGAATTGATTAAAAATTTTTAATAAATTACCTTATCCTTTATCGGCGATGAATGCACATTCCCATTGATATTATCCGTTTCCAATCCAAATGCATCAGTGGTGTCTTCACTTTTTTTTCCATCATTTGTTGCAGAAATCTACATATGAAAAAAGCAACTTGAAGCATATTTCATCTTGTTGATTACTCATGCATATGGACAGTATATTACATGTATAAATGTTGTATATATATAGTATATTTATCAACATGTTGTGAACTTAACATAGCAGACCGTATGTGTTTGGGATATATGATGTGTATACATATCTAATAGACCATATGATCCGGTGTATATGTTTGTTCATATTCTGTACATATATACAGAATGTAAAGGTTGACGGATAATATATATAAAACAATTTTACTAATTAATCGTATAAAAAAATTTAAAATTTATTAAACTTACAATGAAGGTATTCTTGAATAGCTCTAGATCAGCCATAACCCGCTTTGAAAAGTCATAGAACAACTGTTTCAAGTTCTCAACGTCAGATGAAATTGAATTCAGACGATCGATGATTTCCGAGTTACTGGTGGGCTGCGGCGCAGATGTCATTTGTGTCTCGTTCCGATTGAATTCATTCTTCTTCTGGAAAAAGGTGACCAACAGCAGCGATTGCTTCTCTTCCAATGTAGGTGACACGTTCTTAAACTGTAATGAATAAATGAACGAAATTAATACAAAATGAATCAACATTTATATGTATATTTAATGAATCTATTTGCAGCCCTCGACATCAAAGCCTGTGGATTAAAAAGTACCTTGCTGGAGTCCAAATTCGAAAAAGCCCTCTGTACATAAAGATTGTTGTACGTGCCATGGACTTCCCACTTGAGCATTCTAGGGATTTCGTTATTTCCAATCAATGTGCATACCACGCCTTCGGCTTTGCTGCAGATTTCGTAAAACCATATTTGCAGAGCTAAGATAAACCCGTAACATCTGTAATTGTAACCACCTCTCTTGCCTTCTTTGTGCTTGTGCTCTCGGTTTGTGATTGATTTTTTAAGGTAATGGAACGTAAATTCAAAGACATCAGTCCCCCAAGGATACTCCTCAAAAACAGAGCTATCAATAATGTCGAGATAGCATCTGTCAAACCTGTGCGCGTCTTGCGAACCCATGAGGAAGTTCGCAAGTAGATGTAACTTGGCAAACTTAACCGCGTCTTCATCGGATTTCCATGATTTCTTTAAAAACTGAACTTTTATGCAACTACGGTTAAGTATCAGACCGGAGAAGTAATTGTCATATAGGCCTTCGGATACTTGTGCGATGTTCAGCTTCTTGCAAGTACCCGTGCATTTAAGACCGGTGATAAGGGCAAACTCTTCAATCCCAAACCGGAACAATCTCCCTCCAAAATCAAACCACATCTCGTCTGTCCTGGGTTGATAGACCTCTCGTAAGAGAATGTGATTAAGCAATTGGATCTGGATTTTTGAATGTGGAAGGTCCAAAAACTTTCCAAAAGCCGAACCCCTTAAAATCTCCATCTGCCCGGGAGTAAGCATCCTTTTTATTTCATTTATGGTCGACCCAGGTTGGCTGTTATCGTTACTGGTCTGAATCTTCACATGTAATTTCCTCGGATTTGGTATGAGCAATTCCCAGTCCTGTCCGAAAAAAACTTTCTGTAAATTTGTTCGCCTGAGTTATGTACATGTCATATCCTTATTTTATACACAGATAGTACATTCCAAAAAAATGGTGGAGAAAAAATGTATATATATATATAGTTATATACCGATAGGTCTACCGGGGACATATACTACATATAGTGCAGGTATATACCGTATGAGTTCACAAGTCATGATCGCATTCCCGACTTTGGAAATATAACAATAACATATACACAACACATACACCGCACTGCCAAACACATAAATATACACTTAATCCCAAAAAAAATCGACATGAAAATTTTTGTCCCCAGATTACATACATGTCATATCCTTATTATATACACAATACTGGTCACAATAAAAAACGATCGATAAAAGGATGGATATACAGTAGGAACTACCAGTAACATATACAACATATATTGAATATATATGTATAAATGTATTCTTGAGTTCCAGAGCATTTGGGCAAAATATATCCATAACATATGCAATCACCCATGTATCGCATATGGTTTAAGTGAGCTTTGTATATACACAAATATGTTCATAAAAAAAAAACCTTTTACTAAAAATACCATATAAATATACACTACAACACAAGTTCAAACACAGTCAACAACAACAGAATAAGAGAATTTCAAACAAACAATCAACATCACCACAACGACACTACTAAAAAAATAGAATTTTATGTATATTTGCTCAAATAAACATAGTATTTTTTTTTTATTTTTTTTGTGTCTTTAGAACATAATAGAATTTTTTTGTCTTTAGAACATAATAGAAACTTGTGATTTACCTTAATTTTTCCCAGATTTTGCAAGTATTCTTCTGATTTCTTGAGATTGTCAACCCGTTTGTTCCTCTTCTTGCACGGGTTATCTTTATTCTCACCTTTTATTGCTCGTTTCTTGCCCTTTTCCTTCTTTTCTTGCAAATCGTGGTCCTCGTCACTCGATTCTTCATGGCTTTCACTGACTTCTTCGTGACTTTCGTCCTCAAAGTCGGAATCCATTGTTGCCCCCTTTTGTGCCACATCTCGCTTCTTTCCTTCATTGTGTACCCGTGACCTTTTCTGTGGATTGTGGCCGGGTTTCGACTGAAAGTCATCGGAATCTGATGAGGGGTCGGCCTTTTCTGGTCTTCTCTTGCCGGGCAAAATCCGATAGTTATCGGTTTTCATTTTTTTTTCAAATTGCAATTTTTTTTGAACGAGAGTGGGTTTCCTGTAAGCTTTTATTTTTCTGAGACGCGAACTCGATCTTCGATGAGGGGAGGCTTCGGCGCCGGTTACCGGACTTCTTCCAATCTTCGTTTTTGCCATATTACGAATTGGATAAGTTAGTGTTTTGCAGTTGAGAGGTTTGTGTGAGAGAGAAGAGGAGAAACGTGTTGAAGGGAGTGGGCGGTGGTTTTTTAGAAATCTTTATTCCCTCATTCCATATTCATCGGGAGCCGTTTTTTGGTACTGATCTTATACACCATAATTATAGCTAGTAAATTAATTATTTAAGTCAACTTGCTTTACCAACATATACTCGTATGTATGCAAATAAAATCGTAATATAATTGTACAATGCAAATATTTTTTACCGGGTGTTATTTATGTAATTAAAAGATAATTTTCTAGTGTAGGCTATAATTTTCTCTTCTTTCAATAGTACCATGAGGCCAATTATTCTCTTCCATGTATTTGGCGCTATTTGACACAAAGCGAATCCCCAATTCCTTAAATATTCGGAAATCAAAGCGAAAAGTGGAAACCGTAGTCCTGATCTTAATGAATCAGCGAAGACACCCACACAGCCTGGCGGAGGGCAGGTTATCCTTTCACCCGGATAAGGAGCAAATAGTCTTACCGAAGAAGGGATATAAACGTCTCCTCGGAGAATGATAATATCTGCATCAGTCAGGATACTTGGTTCGCCTCTGTATTCATCAATCGGTTCAGGCCACCGACGTGCGGGACGTCTCCAATAATCGGGAAGCGACATAGCATTCTCTTCAACCGACTTATCTTCCTCGATAATATCCTTATTTAAATTCAATCTCTTAACGAGAAGGGGATCCCACCGATAAAACTCGAGAGGCAATTCCAAATCCTCGTCGGTAAAAATCCTAACCTCTGAAATTGTGCGGCTACTACTATCTTCAGCTTGAGAAGACATCTTTTTCGAGACCGATAAAAATAAAAACAAGCTCGAAATCGGCGAATGCGAAAATATAAAAGATTAGGGAAAAATCTTACCGAAACTCTCGAAGCCCTGAATTGAAGAAGACACAGAAAGATCGCACAAATTACGCAAGACAGAAATTGAAAGAGAAATTTGAAGAAAACGGAATACAAAAGTAAGCAAGAGATATGAAGATTCAAGATAAAGAAACTCTTCACAAGTCAAAACCGACTGCAATTTATAGGTTTTGATTTATAACCGTTGGCAAAATCCGGAATCGGCACGTGTAACGGACGTGTCTTGAAATGGTGTAACGTTACACTAATCATTAATACACGTGGGCACGCCCTGAAACGCCAAGTCGCCAAAGATTTATATCCGTTGGACCCATTAAATACGGACGCGTCTTTTAAGAACTGCCACGTCAGGTCAATCGTCATGCAAGCTATAGCGAACAGAATTGGTGACAAGTGTTCTCATGTCGGTCATAGAGGACAACCAAGTCGGTATTATAAGAAACAAAAACGACATCCGCAGTCATTAGAAAGCTCGAATACCTACTAATGTCGGGGGCCTCTCTGTTGATAACCGACTCGGTCCCACAAGATTTAAGTCCCGGATTAATTGCCCCGTAGAATTAATAACCCTCCAGAAAAAGACGAACTTAATCCAAGTCGGTATTGGCTGAGTTATTTACAGACTTCCGAGATTGTCGAGAGTAAAAACCGACTACTTAGAAAAGACACCAGCGACCGACTTCACCTACGTCGTGGCCCGAAATATTAATAAATCCTCTGTTTAAACCGACAACTGGAAAGATCAAATATTCGAGTTCAAATATCCAAGCAAAAAAGAGCTGTAAGCATTCGATTGGACCGTCAAAGCAAAAAGCAATCATTGATGTTCCCCTATTTCATAACACACCGCTTTATTCAAGCTACTCAACATTAAATGTGATCTTATCCGTCTCAAACAAGAAGACAAAAGCTACCGCACTATAAATAGCAGAATTTATAGTTGTACAAGGATCTTTTTCCGTACATTGTACATGGACTTAAAATGATCTCGGTCAAGAACAAAAAACCGACTTCCTGTACTCTTGTGAACTTAAAATAAAACGTTATCGTGAATTTATTTTTGTTTAAACACACTCTGCTGTTAATTTTGAGTTGTTAGTTTCATACAACAACACACGAATAAATCAAATTCAATTGAAAACAATTGAAAATTGAAGTGTCACCCTTCAACAATTCTCAATACTCATGAACGATAATTGAAAAATCCTATTAAAAGATTAACTCGCATAAATTGAACAGTCACGAGCACGATAATCACGAACGAAATCAAAACATCAATCCTCTATCCCTAGCATAAAGATTTAGCCACTCATGGTCGATTCAACACAAACAATCTCGTAAATCAAGACAAACATATTCATGGATTAGAGGAATAGAAAGTCTTACAATTAAATGAAATTGAGAGTTGAATCTGATAAACAAGATTAAACCACAAAGCAACGACGAAATCCGAGTTTAAATCCTTGATCTACGATGAAAAATATGAAGAGAGAATGAAAACAAGTGAAAAAAACGAGGATAGGGTTTTCTTGTCTCTGGAACCAGAGATATCTGATCGAAGCCTCGACCTAATATATATAGTAGCAGGCTTCCACGACGTGGAGAGATGGTGGCACGGCGCGGAGGGTACGTGTGGCGCGGCGCGGTGCGGCGCGGGAGGATTGACACGGCGTGGCAGGGTCAGGCACCGCGGCGCGACAGATGGGATGTTGCGTTCTCTGTCCAGGCTTGGTGGATATCACGCTTTGTCCCACAACGTGAAGGCTGGGAGTGCCGCGGCGCTGGATGTCCTCGCGGCGTGGTGGGTCTAGAGTGAAGCTTCTGTCCGCCCGTGATGTGTGTCGCGGCGCGGGGACCTGGGCGTGGCGGCCTGGGAACTGCTTGCTTCAAATGCACGAGTTTGCTGCTCGGGTTCGTTCGGGCCCGTCTAGTACCGAAACTTGATTTTGCTTTTTCCTGTGTATTGCCAACGAAATTCTCTACCCAATTATGTTCACCCGGTCCACTTATCATGAAAAATAAATCCTCCCGAACCTTCCATCCTGCACACCAAAGACGGTAAAAACTGAAAAAAATACACGAGAAATACATGGAAAACCAAGATAAAACAAGACGCGCAATAAACTATATAAACGAATAAAAACTAACAAAAAGATCTAAAACGGGGGAAAAAGAATGACAAAACAATAACGAAAAATGCAACAAAATGGGACAAACAACTCCCCCACACTAAAACCTTTATTCGTCTCGAACAAAAAGGCACAAAAAGAAAAGAAAAGAAAAGAAAACAAACAAATGAGCATGGATAACAGTTTCAAATAAGACAAGTCTCAAATTAATCAACTTAACCAAGGAGACTTCCAATGACCAATATAGCACATCTCAATTACAACTCGAATGCACCGCCTTGAAAAGACAAACTCTCAAACACCGAAATATAATACATATATGCCTTACTCAGTTTCTTGCATTAGTATGAACTGGGTTCGCTCAAATTGGTCGATCATCATGCTTCAACATAAGCTTGCCTATTGTCTATTCATACTCTAAAACAATCAAACTCATGAAATAGTGAATCAAGAGGACTTCTTGGGATGTAACGTATGCTCTTTGGATTGGGTAGGATAAATATAGGCTAAATGACTCAATAAAAATATCAACTCAATTCAATCACCTAACCGTGATCATGAACTCATCCGGTTGTCAACACCAACTGTTTCCTCCAACATCCTCAAAAGCCAACACGCTACCCACATTATTCATCTCTTTTATTTTTTTTTTCTTTTTTGCAAACCCTTGGATATTTTATCATAATCCATTCGGCTTTTTTTTTTTTTTTTTTATTTTCTCTTTTTTGTTTTTTGACATAACACCAACATAAATCACCTATATATACAAAACCAACACAAATCACCTCCAATTCTTCACTTACAACTCCACAATATCCTCATCACGGGGTTATCAGTAAACAAAAATTCAATCAGACTCAAAGGGGATGACTAGTGAATGTTATTTCCACAAAAAGAAAAAGTGAATGAAAATAAAAAAGAATGCCTAAATCATTTTCATATTACACAAATTCGATTGCTTCATTTCAAAACAAACTCAAAGTAAGTTCTGATCAACACAAATCCGACCAATATCCCTCAAGAAATAACCAAGGCTCAAACCTCACAAAAGGTAAAAAAAAATGTCCAACAAAACGACACATCAAGTTCATCAAAGCATACTAGTCATGATCATCAATACATCTCCTCAACATCATCAACAATTATCAACCAATCTCACAATCCACCACAATCCATACTCACAAGACACATAAAAAGACAAAAGACTGGACACCCAACAAAAACAAAAGATGAAAACACTCTAAAAGAACTAGACCTGGTCAACCATATAAAACACATAATCATGTAAAACTCCCCCACACTTAAAACCGAACAATGTCTCCATTGTCGATCATCAGTGTTAGGAAAGTCTACCCATATAATCAATCAACATAAAAAACAAAGACACTAAACCAAACACGAAAAATAAAGAGAAGGGTAAAGATACAGACGTACAGGGCACAGTGACTAGACGAGTCACTGTGAATCCGGTGGTGCAGGCGGAGGGTGGAGGTAGTCAGGCCTCGAACAGCGGCGGGCCTCTGTCAACTCAAATCTCTCGCCCCATTGAGATCGGGGCAGCTCTCTGGAATTCGGCTGGGGAAGGGTAGTGTGGCGGTCGGTATGGCGTATTTTCTCAACACAAGCTCGGTCCTGCAATGACATCTTAGCATGCTCTCGCATGCACGCTTTCTCAGTGAGCTGCTCAATCGCCTAAGGTACGCACACTCTTCCACCAGGTTCACTTGCGGCTCAGGCTTAGTCTCTCGGACGGAAATGAAGGTAGATTCCCCCAACATAGTCATGCTCGCAGTCCCCTTCTTCACATCAATAACTGTGCTCGTGGTCACCATAAAGGGTCGTCCGAGGAGGATGGCGTGCTCTTTATCATTTTCTTTTACGTTCCCCATATCAAGCACAACGAAGTCCACGAGGACTATCAGCTTTCCCACACGGACGAGCACATCCTTAACAATCCCTTCTGGATGACAGAATGAGCGATCTGCAAGCTGTAAGCGCATTCTAGTGGGCTTTAAATTTCCAAGCCCGAGTCGGTGATATACTGTGAGCGGCATGAGGTTAATGCTTGCTCCTAGATCGAGCATCTCCGAGATCTCTTCCCCACTCCCGAAGGCTATAGTGATCATGAAGCTTCCGGGATCCTTTTCTTTCTTTGGCAAGTTATGTTGGAAGAAACTTGCCGCTTGGAACACGAGCACCTCATCACCACTCTCGAGCCTTTGCTTATTTGCTGCTACTTCCTTGAAAAATCTCCCATACGCCGGTATCTTCTGGATCATGTCGGGCGGAGATAGATCGACGTTGGCCTTAGCCAACATCTCATGCAGGTCACGAATCATCCTACGGTCCTTCTCCTCCAAAAGTTAGCTCGAAAATGGGATCGTCAGTTTGTATGGGTTCGGGGACTTGTGCAAGGTTGGCTCGAGTTGCGGTGTCACATGGGTCTCTACTTTTCGTTCATCCCTTGGGACTGGTTTCACTTCCTTCTTCTCTTCGGGCATAATTACGGTCACCGCATTCGAATGCTTGGGCTGACTCGGCAACTTCCCCTTGTTCAACTCAGTCTCGATGGTCCCGACCCGTGTGGCTAGCTTGCCTACTTGTGTCTCAAGGCGCTTAATGGAAGCATCCTGATTCGTGATGAAATTGAGAATTTTGTCCAGCTTGTTGTCTGTGTTCGGTGGGTTTGGTCCGGCTTCTGGCGGAGGCATCCTTATCATTTGTCCCCTTTGCTACTGCTGATGGGGGACAAAGTTGGTTTGAGGCGACTGTTGATGGTGGTTGTTGGCCCATTAGAAGTTTGAGTGGTTTCGCCACCCAAGATTGTACGTGTTCGAGTACGGGTCATTACCGGGCTGGTTCTGATAACCCTGTAGTGCGTTCACCTCGGCATTCTGTCCTCTATAGCTTAGCTCGATAGCCGACGGGCACACCTCGGAACTGTGTCCCAGAACTCCCACATGCGCTGCAAACGTTTACTGCCATCGTCTGAACTGGTGAAGCTCCTCTCGCATTCAATAGCCGCATCTGCCCGTGCGCTCGGCTAACTGCTGGGCCATAACATTGTTTCCCAGTCCGATCTCATTCACTGTGGACCTCCTCCCTCTGACACTTTTCTGAGACGAGTTCGCACTTATCGTCTCGTAAATCTCCATCATCTCTTCAGCTATTCTCTCTCTGATGTCGCCTCCGGCTGCAAGTTCTGGTGGAGGGAGTCGTAGAAGCAATTCGCCAAAAGTCCCGGAGAAAGATTGTGGTGTGGGCATTGCCTCTGAAGGTCTTTGAATCGCTCCCAGGCCTCGTGAAGAGGAAAAGAGACGATCTGGGATCGGATATCCTGAGCCTTCTGGTGGGAATAGTACTTCCCAACGAACTTTGAATACACCTCGGCCCAGGTGGTAAGAGAATCCGGTGCGAGGGTCATGAACCACGCCTTGGCTCGATCTTTCAGAGTCTCCGGGAAGCACTGCATCTTCAGTTGGTCTTCGGTTAGCCCATGTAGAGGGAATGTCTGGAGGACGTTGTAAAACTCTCGGATGAAGTGGAGTGGGTCTTTGTTGGGGAGCCCGTGGAATGAAGGTAGCTGGTTGTAATGGATCATCTTAAGCTCGTAGTTCCGAGCTTCTTGTGGCAACCGGATGCATGAAGTTATTGGCCCGATCATCAGTTGGGACAAGTCTCGGAGAAGATCACGAGGAGGTTGTTGAGCCATCTCTGGTTTGGTGGTTTCGGATTAATCGAGGCTGAGTTTGTCAAACAGCTCACTTAAGTTCTCGGGATTGGTTTTGTCGTTCGGTACTAGTATACGTCCACTCCTGGTACGCATACACTCAAACAACAAAAGGGTTACAAGCACCAACGGTAAAAAAGAGAAAATAAATGAAAACAAATGGCAAAGAGAGAACTAACAGCTAGACACGAAAGGAAAAACAAAGAGAAACACCGAAACAAGAAATCACAAGAAATAAGAGAAACACAAAAGAAAGTAAAAAGATAAAAATAAGAATAAAAATAGAAATAAAGTGAATAAGCGCACAAAATACGTCCTAAACCTTCCCCGGCAACGGCGCCAATTTGTTGTAAATATTTTTAAGGAGCAGAATCGAAAGATTCGAACACTGGGTCGTGTCTGTCGAGGAAGGTTAGCCAGATTATTATGCACGTTTATTCAAACACCAATAAAAGAAATAAAATTCATAGACATCCTAATTCAAATTTTGGTTTGATTTTTGATTATCAACTACTAAGATTTAAATTAAGCAAATTAGAATAGCAAAGTAACACGTAGAACAAGCAAGATTTAAGAAGCTAGGGAGTCGGGGACATCCGTTTTGATTCAAATTGCAATTATCGGCAAATAATTGTTCAGTTAAGTGATTTCAATAACCTGCTCGTTCAAGCACTCATCCTCAATAACTCTTCATAACAAGAGAACAAACTTGAACGGCAAATTAACAAGTCACTTAACACCTAGGCAATACAGTTACGAACAAGCCTAGTCTATACGACGAGTCTATTTCGACCGACTCCTCCTCTTTCGGTTCTAAGAGTCGATTAAGAAAGACTAGAGGGTGGTCAACCGACTAATCAATTAGAATCTTCAATATCATGCATGAATAAATCAAATTCAATTGAAAACAATTGTAAATTGAAGTGTCACCCTTCAACAATTCTCAATACTCAAGAACGATAATTGAAAATTCCTTTTAAGAGATTAACTCGCATAAATTGAACAGTCACGAGCACGATAATCACAAACAATATCAAAACATCAATCCCATATCCCTAGCATAAATATTTAGCCACTCATGGTCGATTCAACACAAACAATCTTGTAAATCAAGACAAACATATTCATGGATTAGAGGAATAGAAAGTCTTACAATTAAATGAAATTGAGAGTCGAATCTGATAAACAAGATTAATCCACAAAGCAACGACGAAATCCGAGTTTAAATCCTTGATCTACGATGAAAAATATGAAAAGAGAATGAAAAACGAGTGAAAGAAACGAGGATAGGGTTTTCTTGTCTCTGGAACCAGAGATATCTGATCGAAGCCTCGACCTAATATATATATATAGTAGCAGGCTTTCCACGACGTGGAGAGATGGTGGCACGGCGCTGGAGGATTGACACGGCGCGGCAGGGTCAGGCGCTGCGGCGCGAGAGAGGTGACACGACGCGGTAGATGGGATGCTGCGTTCTCTTTCCAGGCGTGGTGGATATCACGCTTTGTCCCGCGGCGTGAAGGCTGGGAGTGCCACGGTGCTGGATGTCCTCGCCGCGTGGTGGGTCCAGAGTGAAGCTTCTGTCTGCCCGTGATGTGTGTCGCGGCGCGGGGAGCTGGGCGTGGCGGCCTGGGAACTTCGTGCTTCAAATGCACAAGTTTGCAACTCCGGGTTTGTTCGGGCCCGTCTAGTATCAGAACTTGTTTCTGTTTTTTCCTGTGTATTGCCAACGAAATTCTCTACCCAATTGTGTTCACTCGGTCCACTTATCATGAAAAATAAATCCTCCCGAACCTTCCATCCTGCACACCAAAGACGAGATAAAACATGACGCGCAATAAACTATATAAACGAATAAAAACTAACGAAAAGACCTAAAACGGGGAAAAAAGAATGACAAAATA